ACTGCAAAACGCCCCTTCCTCGACCCCCCCCCTGGCCTTTCTTCCCCCCCTCTCTCCTCAGGCCTCCCTCACCCGTTCCCTTTCGCCCCCTCCTTCCCTCCCTCCCCGGGGCAGCAGGCCGAGGCCTGAGGGGGAAGCAACGACCAAGGGGACCCCCTTCCTCTGAGGTGGGGGGGGAAGGGAAAGCGATGGACGGTCCTTTGGGCCTCTTCCTTCTCCTCCTCCTCCTCCGCGGCGGGTCCTCAGAGCCCGCGGGGTCCCGGGAAGAAGGCCTCGCCCGGGGACGGCCACCCCGTTCCGGGTCTCCCTTCGTCCGCTTCTTTCCTCCTCCTTCCTCCTCTTCCTCCTTTTCCTGCCTCTCCGCTGGACGGCCTCAGTCGGAGCACTTCCGGGTTAAAAGCCACCTCCCGCTCGACCGCCGCCTCCCCCCCACTCCTCCCGGCTCCGTCCCCCGCTTCAGTATTAGCCGGTCTCTATGGTTACCCCGCGGGCGAGAGGAGAAGGCGCCGAGAAAAGGCCGGGCAAGCTCAGCGGAGCCAATCAGGAGAGCCGGCCGGTTTGGAGGGAACCCGCCCCTTTCCGTCCTGCGCGTGCGCCGTGCTGCGTCGGGCCTGTCTTTCCCTGCGGTCCCCACCATCGAGTTCTCACCGCCAAGCTCGTCTGCCACCGCCCGCCCCCCCTTTTTTTTGAGGGGCGCAGGCGCACACGGCGGCGGCGCCGCAATCGCGGCCGAGAGGGGGAAGGGGAAAAGAACTTTCGGAACCAGCGCGGTTCCCGGATTGGTTGAGGCGGACCAATCAGGCTTGGCCTTTGCCCCGCCTCCGCGTGACGTTCTCAAAGCAAACGCTGAGAAGCCTTCCTCCCTCTCCAGCCGCGATTTCTGAAGCCGCTGTCTCCTGTCAGAGGACAGCGCGCATGCGCACACGGCCCCCCCCGTTGTAACTTAACGGGGAAGGTGGATCCGTTACACCAAATTTGCCTTGGACGTTACGGGGCTTCTTGCTTTTCCCGCGTAATGTCCTTAAAGCAGGAGTGGGGGGAACGTTCCAGGGGTCTCGAAGACTACACTTCCCATCAACCCTTGCCATTGGCTGGGGCCCATGGGAGTTGTAGTCGGAGGTCTGGATGGCTCTACGTCGTCCTCCCCCCTCGCTTGTTCCTGGAGCTGTTTTAACCCCCCACTAACGGAAAAAGAAACTAATAAAAGATCCTGGGTGGATGGACAGGTGTGGATTCTTTATCATGTGAAACAATCCCTATTTTAACAGTCAGATTCCAAGCTTAACCTCTACATCATCATCATCATAAACAATCTGCAGAGCTGGAAGGGACCCCATGGGATCATCAAGTCCAGCCCTTGTCAAGGAGCACAACCTCTTCATGCATCTGATTCATGCAGGCCTGCAATCCCAAGCTGTTTTCTGGACAGCCAGGCAAAGACTCTTTCTAGATCAAGACTCTTTTTCTGCAGCATTAAAGAGCGCTTTGGACAAGCCTGTCGGTCGCTTAGCACAGGTATTTGCTACCGAAAAAGAAATACTAAAACTGCTGGAGCAAGTTATTTCTGAAACATCTTGCTCCAGCATTTTCGGATCTCTGTTAGTCGCTTTGCAATGCCAATTCAGGCCGTCAGACATGTCCAAACACACACTCAAGCGCTCCACCGCACCCCTGGTTGACGGAGGACGTTAGAAGCGGCAAAGCTTTGGATATTTTTGCATGAGTTCTTTCTGCTCCTATTTTCCATTAATTTTGATTTGTGAAGGGGAGGAGTGGGAAGGGAGAAGCCCACCAGGTATTCATTCTCCCCGAAAGTCCTCGCTCACTTCCCTCTTGAAGGAACTGCTGAATGCTTCATTTGATAATCTATTTACCTCCAGGTAGTTTTTAAGGCCGCGGGAGATCCCCTCCAGCTTCCGCTCATATGTCTCATTACTGTAATGCAAACAGAAGGCTGGATGTGCACTTATGCAAACAGAACGTCTGTTGGGATTAGTCACGGCCCCGCTGGCTCTTTGGAAACTCAACTGCCACTCAAGGAAAGTCATTCTTCATCCTGGACGATAGAACAGTTGGTCAAAGATGCTGATTATGGAAATACAAGTGCAAGTTGTGCCTGAGACAAGTGGCCAGGCTTCGTTGGTAGTGAAATCTTGTCGCCACCCTGTCGATGGCCAAGACATGCCGCTGACTGAACAATGTGTTTTCCTATTCGGGGCCATCGGAATTTCAGTTTAGCAGTTGCGCTAGCGACTGGTCAATGGCCAGGAATTATGCAATGCGTAGTTCCCCCCAAAATCTCCACCCTAACAGGAAATCTCTAGCCCTTTTTTCCTTGCAGGAATTAAAGACAATCACTACATCCCTAAAGGCCTGATGACTAATGCAGTGTAGGGTGGTTTTGTAAACTGGAGAGAAATCCAATGGCTCTAGTCACACATGCACCAAATAGAATCAACCTTTTCTGCCAGTTTTAGTCCAGCAATTTCACGCCGGAGTCTCCCTTTGAAGTGAAAGGTGTGGAAGAAGGACCTCGTTTCGACATCAGTCAGCAGCATGTCTATGTGTAGGCATCCTTCAGTCTCGAGAGACTATGGTAACGTGCTCTATATGGAGGTCTTGGAACAGCGTCTAGTGTGGCTGAGAAGTGACAATCTCTTCCACATTGAAGACAAATACAATCTGTCCCCTGTCCAGCTCCCTGGTTTTGCTTGTTTCGGGATTTCTCTGCCTCGGCCTGCTGTACAAGTGTCTCTTCAAATTGGGAGAGGCCATGTTGCACCGCCTGAACGCTCAGATGTCAAGGTTTCCCATCTGTTGAGGTCGATTCCTAAGGCCTTCAGATCCCGCTTGCACATGTCCTTGTATCGCAGCTGTGGTCTCCCTCTGGGACGGCTTCTCTGCACTAATTCTCCATACAGGAGATCTTTTGGAATCCGACCATCAGCCACTCTCCCAACGTGCCCAAGCCAACGTAGACAGTGTTGTTTCAGTGATACATGCTAAAAATTCCAGCTCATTCTAGGACTACTCTATTTGGAACTTTGTCCTGCCAGGTGATACCAAAAATGCGTCGGAGACAACGCATATGGAAGGTGTTCAGCTTCCTCTCCTGTCGTGCACAAAGGGTCCAGGACTCACTGCAGTATAGGAGTGCGCTCAGGACACAGGCTTTATAGACCTGGATTTTGGTGTATGCCGTCAACTTCTTATTAAGCCATACTCTCTTTGTGAGTCTAGAGAACATGGTAGCTGCTTTCCCAATGCATTTATCCAGCTCGACATCTAGGGAGAGAATGTCAGAGATTGTTGAGCCAATGTACACAGATTCATGAACAACCTTCAATTCTTGCGTTTTGCATGTCTATAGCCATAGCAAAACCTCCACATCCTCATTTCTCCACCTGGCTGCTCAGGAGGTCATTCATTCTTTTGCGCCCGGGTGCCTCTGCTTCCCCTGTGTAGCCAACAGAAAGCATTGTTCTCTCCCTGCGCCAGAGGAACAGACGGACGTAATGGTGACATAAAAGAAATGAAAAATCCCTGCGTCTAGAAACCAATGGGAGAACAATGCATTTACCGGCAGACCCTCCTGGTGGAAGGATAACAAGATGGAAGAAGAGCGGCCATTGCCGGCTTACCATTCTAGAAGAGGGGGTAGCAACCCTTCAATTTACTATTATGTTCATTGACAAATGAATTATTTCTCCAATTTTACGTTGCTGATCCCCCATGGACTGGATGTTTTCCTAAGGACCCAGATCGTCGCAGAGCAGTAGCTCTAGTTAGAGGCATTTTGGATAAATGTTGATTTTTTCAAGGCGCAGGAGCAGGTCTCTGATTAAATACATCTGGCGCAAGGAAGCAAAACTGTCACTGAATGGCTTTGTATTGTTTTCGATGGCGTACTTCTCTTTCCCCTGCCGTCTCCTCCACCCCGTGTTTTGTAATTAGACACACGGCTTGGGGTTCTCAGGCTGTAGGACGACAACAAGACATGCACACTTAATTTTCTCTCTCTCAAAAAAAAGCATTGCAAAATAAACACGGACTGAACAATATCTGCTCATGTTTACTTGGAGATGCATCCTGCTTGGTGCAACGAAGCCTACTGTCTAATCTCTATGTTTAGGATTTTGGCAAAGTGAGATTCATGGAAACTGTGGGTGGTGAAGGAAAGGGGCTTTGCATCAGCGGGATGCTCGCATCCTGGCTGCGTGAATCAGTTTACTGAAATTAACGTTGCTGCCGCTTCACAACCCAGTCCATTATGAAGAAAATTACTAACCATTTCCCCAAAGGTCCTCGACAATGCGCAGGCGTGTAGTTCTCTGCAATGTTGATGCTGATGCCTTCAGCTATTATTCCATCCCTACCAGGGGAGCCATTGAAAGGCACCGGAAAGCCAGGGAGGGGAGGTGTCTCTTGTGTAAGGCAAAAAGGGTGTTGGCTCTCCCGTTGGTCCAGGAAACTGGATTTATTACTGGGCAGAAAACCACAGGCCAGAGAGGAAAAGCGCCGCTGACGTACAAATGCCACTGCAGAGGCCAGTCACCTAAACAAACACTGTTTTAGGAAGAAGCGCCTTGTTGACGTCACAACAGAAGGATGTTACTCATCCTTTATTCAGCGGCTTTTCGAAAATTAAGGCTTCGTCGACTTTCTCTTTTCTTCCTACTCCCAAAGTTTTGTCAATTAAGACTTGACCTCTGGCTAGTCCAGGATTTCCCACAGTCCTGTTGAAACATTAGAAAGAAGGATGGGTGAGAATTTTGTTTTAGTTCATTTTATGAGATGAACGGGGCCGGGATTCGCAAACCTCTTCTTATTTGTGTTGGAAGGAACTTGGGATTTTGATTTTGGTGGGAGGGAAAAAAATAACCAAAAGTGTGAGAAAGCAAAATCGATGGTGTGCTTAAGAAG